CGGGAGGGGGAGCTGGGCTGCAGGAGACAGTAACCAGGAAGCAGTGGAACTAACAGCGGGCGTGGCTCTCCTCAGGTCTGTGCAGACCTGCCGTGGGGCCACCACTGAGCTCCGGGGACGAGCGTGCTCCCCGCTCCTGTCCGGTGGAGGGGAGGTTTGGGGGCAGGGACAGCAGACACCCTCACAGGGGGAAATTGCTCCCTTCTCGTAGGCAGTGACGGAGGGCGGAGAACACTGCATCTGTTCATTCTCAGTTGCTTTCAACTCAAAAAATTCCTTAAGGTGAAGAAGTGTGTGTTGTTTTTTGTTTTTCTTTTGGGGGGCTGGGGGGTGTCCTGATCCCCTTCACAGAGAAAACCACCGGCAACTGAACCTTCTAGAAGACTCCATGCCTGCCTCTGCTTCCCGCCGGATCCCCACCCATTTACCATCATTTCATTGTGGGACAAGGGGGAGGGGAGCCCCCTGTCAGTCTGGGGGGCTTCTTGGCATTCTGCACTTGGGATGTCCCCTCGTTTTATGGCTGCGAGTCCACAGGCGCCTCGCTCTCTGGCTTGGGGACCCCTCGCGTGAGCGGGCTCTCCGACGCCCCCCCCCCCCAATCCGGACACAGGGACTGACAAAGCTTTGATCTGTCTTATCACACGATGCGGTGTTTTTCCTCGTGGCTTTGTTTCCCGGTCAAGTTCGCATTTTTGTCTGAATTTACTGACTTGGCACATTTTGTGAACACTGACCATTTATTTTTCCAACATAAAATATGTTCTTCTGTTGAACGTTGTCCATATCACCTCCTCCTACTTAAACACAAAACAAAACAAACTTTTTAATAACCTCTTCCCCCCCCCCCTTCCCCCGCCTTTTTTTTTTTTTAACGAAAGGCTTTGGCTCAAAATCCTCAAAAGCTGTGGCCACCAGCTGAGATCCTAAAATGACCCAGAAGTGGTGCTTGGGGAGAGTGGAAGAAAGAAATCCCTTTCCAAGAAGTTTAGCCTTGAAGAACATTCTAGAACAGAGCCGCGGGCCCCTCGCCATCCTCCGCCTCCTGTTTTGGTTGGCCCCGGTCCCACACCATCGTCTTCTCTCTTGACCAAACAATCCCTGAGAGAAAGAGGACTTCTACATTTTTCCTAAAAAAAGTACTTTTTATGTCTCCATTACACATCTTAAAGTTCAGTTTAGATGATACCTTTTTAAAAGTACGCACTTATGTCTAAGACCTCGTCCCCCAAACATCATCTTTAAAAAAATTGACAGCTTGCACGCATCTAGAATTCCATAGTCACAGGTTTTTTTGTGTGTGTTTTTTTAAGGCTGGCGTGTAAGAGCAAGACCAGCTTGCACGTGTTTAAATGCATTACTCACAGTTAACAGTGAGAGCGAGTTTTCTTTTTCCTTCTGGGTGTGTGTTAACCAACCTCTTGCCACACTTAGTTTTCCACCCTCTTTTTTTTTTTTAATATATTTTATTGATTTTTTACAGAGAGGAAGGGAGAGAGATAGAGAGTTAGAAACATCAATGAGAGAGAAACATCGATCAGCTGCCTCCTGCACATCTCCTACTGGGGATGTGCCCGCAACCAAGGTACATGCCCTTGACCGGAATCGAACCTGGGACCTTTCAGTCCGCAGGCCGACGCTCTATCCCCTGAGCCAAACCGGTTTCGGCGATCCACCCTCTTTTTAAAAAAATATATTTTTATTGATTTCGGAGAGGAAGGAAGAGGGAGAGACAGAAACATCAATGATGAGAGAGAATCGATCGGCTGCCTCCTGCAGGCCCCACACTGGGGATCAAGCCCACAGCTCTGGGCACGTGCCCTGACCGGGAATCGAACTGTGATCTCCTGGTTCATAGGTCGAGGCTCGACCACTGACCCATGCCGGCCAGGCAATCATTACCATTTTTCAAAGTGGTTTCCTTCATTTTCTACACCACCATCTTTTTATTTTTATTTTTTTTAAGAACTATTTTAAAGCAAATCCTAGCCAGGGAATCATTTTCCCCACGAGCCCTTCAGCATGTCCCTGTCGCAGATGAGGACTTTTCCCTGACCGAGTGCAATACCAGCATCAACCTAACACGATGAACCAAAGTCCTTTAGTGAGAACCGGTGGGTCAGAGGGACCACAGCCAGCGTCTGGGATGGGCTGAGGGCTGCTGACCGCCAGCCGAGGGGATGGCCGGGGAGAAGGGCTGGGTGGGGACAGAGGACACGGGACAGGTTGGACTTCACTGGCCCCTCTGTGTCTGTCTGTCTGTCAGGCATCGAGTCCTAACAACCTTGGGGAGTCACAGCCGCCTCGCTGCACGCCGACCCCTGGGCCTGCGTGGGAACCGGGTTTGTGGGGAGTCTGGCTCCCGCGTGGCCAAGGTGACATGGCGCAAACCACCGCCGTCATCCAGCCCCAGCCGGTCTGCGTGGAACGGAGCCACGTGCTTTGGGAAGAGACACGGTTCTGGCCGGAGCTGGAGCTGGAGCGGAGCAGCGATGTGCAAGCTCCGGGGGTACAGAGGGCGTTGGGGTCTGTTCCAGCAGAAGGGGCTGCGCCGATGGGTCTTGGACGCGTGGAGCGGCTGTGCGGTGGGTGGCGCTGGTGTCGTGCGTGGAAACGGTGAGTTTCCAGAGAGCCGGCCGCCCTGCCCTCATCTCCACGCCCTGTGGGAGGCAGGGCCAGGCCTTGCCGTCTGTTCAGGTGGCCCCTCGAGCAGGAGGCAATGCCGTAAAAGGACATTCAGGTGCCCCTGGGTGA